AAATTGATATGAAGTACTGAAATGATATATATATATATATATATATACTGAAGAGCCAAAAAAACTGGTATACCTACCTAATATCGTGTAGGGCTCCCGCGAGCACGCAGAAGTGCCGCTATACGACGTGGCATGGATTCGATCAATGTGTGAAGTAGTGCTGGAGATAATTGACACCATGAATCCTGCAGGACTGTCCATCAAACTAGTGGGAGTAAGAAGGGGTGGGGATATCTTCTGAACATCACTTTGCAAAGCATCTTAAATATGTTCAATAATGTTCATGTCTGGGGATTTTGGTGACTAGCGGAAGTGTCTAAATTCGGAAGAGTGCTCTTGGATTCACTCCCAGACATGAACATTATTGAACATATTTGGGATATTGTTAAAATTACCGAGAAAACATGGAAAATAATAAAGATTAATGAAAAGAAAAGAAGAAAAATTACTAAAATAAAATATTTTTAAAAAAATATTTTTTTTTAAAAAAAATTAAAAAGCCGGAAAACAGAATAATGAAAAAATATAGTATCTTCATTAGCTCATACGATTATAACCGCAAAAAGGAGTGCTTGTTATTGTATCAATATATCGGAAGCAAAATGTATCAATAAAATAGTGTGAGGAGCATTCAAAAAAATTGAAATGAAAATAGAACACATTAAGAGAAAAAAAAACATATCAAGCAAAAAAACAGAAAATAAAATTTAAAGAAAATAAAGAACAAAACACAAAATGAAGTCTGTAAAGCGAGTAGTGAATTCAAATGAACTTACGCGTACCGGAATCTTTCAAGAATGATTTAAAATATTTTCGTAATAAAAGATTGCCAGATAACAAAATATGAAAACAGAAGCGCAAATAGAGATAAGAAGCTAAAATAGAGAGATCTTTTATTGCGCATTCTTACCGCAGAAACGAAGCTTGTTTGATATGTTAGTTACCTTGGATTTGCCCGAAAATGGATGTGCTCAAGGTAATAATATTATGTTGGATAATTTAAAGTTTAAAATCAATAAGGTTGATATTTAATTATATAATTTTTATGATCACGCTACCAATATTTATTTCCCATAGTAAACTCCAGATTCAAGTGATGGGGCAAACTTATCCTCGTAAGTGATTTTTTTAAGGAACTCTTCCGTTGTATGCAGGAGAAAACTACGAAAGCCTCCGTCTGTTTGCACGACATAGCAAGAAGATTCTATCCAATGATCTGTCTATAACTGGCGTTATTTTACATCAGTGATGTAGTCAGCCGGGAGTAGGTATATAAATGAAGTGGCATAGTCTAGATTCAAAACTAAGTCTCGTTTCGTTGCTAGAGTAAAAAGTCAAAAACAAGAAAAAAGTTAGGCCTCAGTAGGATTTTGGAAAAAATAAAAAAATTTTTTTAACTTTCTGTACTTATTTAATTTTGCCAAAAAGCTCCTTAATATTTTAAAATTATGTATTCAAAAGTTTATAAGTGGGAAAAATATTAAATTTTTCATTTTTGTGCAGCGTTTTGACTTGTATTTCCAAAGAAACGTTCAACACATACTACTCGAAGCTAGATTATTAGGTTATATTACTTAAAATTTAAATTTCATTACATTCTTTGCAAACGTATGCTTGATTCGTTTTATTACACAGTTTTTTCTATTTAATTTAACTCAATAAACAATTTTCATAATCGATTTTAGGGACGTTTTTTTTTCCTTCAAAACACGAATTTTTTTTTCTTTCTTTTTTTTTCAGAAATCACTACGACAACTCCAGTAACGGAACCAGAAGGTAATTATAAAATGTTACTTACATTAAAATCAATAATATTTTTGACTAGATTTTAAGAAAAAAAATCACTCAAAATTGTTTTTCCTTATTTCTATATATTAAAACGTTGGTGAGAAAGTCCCCAAAGCAGCCCACAAATGATGCCACTATAAATCAAATCGATACGTGTGTTAGATATTGCAGACTTTCAAACTGTGTTCATCAAAATTTGTCAGGATATTTTAATTATGATTCACTGATATACATCAAAATTTTAGTTATAAGTTTTGAGCCGAAAAAATATTTTGAAGAAGTGCGAAAATTTCTTTCGCTAGTTAAAAACTTTATTTACAGACAAATCCATCGTTCAAAATCAGAAATGGCATAAAAAGTATTACTAAAGTGGTTAATTGGTTTTGTCTGATCCGTAATTAGTTTGTTGAGTGCATGGTGATTGCGTCAAAAAACTTAACCCTTTGCGGTCATATTAAATTTATGCATGGGTGTCATGCTGGTCAGAATAACTTTTCGTTGAGCGAACAGTAATACTTAATATGCAAAATTATGAAGGAAAAAAATTATAATTTCTTTTTCAAACTTTAGATATATGTAACACAATAATATGTTTTAAATTTTATGTAAAAATTATATTTTATTTTTCTCTATCATGTGGTATCTTTTAAAACGGTCTCCAATATGAAGCCCTGGTTTTCGAGAACATGTGCATTAGTCTGGCATCTTCCGCCCTTAATTTTTCTGTTTGAACAAACAGAACAATCTTGACTCTTTACATCTTCACCAGTGCCGCAATATATGTAGTTTGTCATTAAGCTGTGGCTTAACATCTTTGCTGTGGTGGCTGAGAGTAGACATACGACTGTAACGGTAAAAAGGCGTTGGTGGCAGAGAGTAGACATACTACCGCAGAGGGTTAAAAAAGATCCTAAAATATGTATCGGACAACCGTAAAATGTAGCTGCAGGAGAGATCTAACACACTAAAAGTATCAAAAGACAGTCTTTACAATATGAATGGATATAAATTTTTTTTTCTCGATATAGATGCCACGTTTGCTTACAGTGGAACAAAAACAACAGCGTGTAGCTTGCCTATTCATCCATTTTTCCATATAGGCGATCTTCCATATAGGCGTTATTAGTCTTTGATTGACCGTCTTGTATGAATCCTGAATGCTCTGAGTGCGTACTAGGCATGATTCTTTATCGCCTTCAAGAGATCATTGCCAAACAAGACCACTTTTTTTAATACTCAGTCAAAAATGCATCAGAAGATTTCCAATTTCTGTTTGAATGCTGGTTTCTATTGGATCGTAAAACTAGTTAATTAAACTGATTCTTCTTTTACCTGACATGGTAACCTCGAAAACCTGACATTCGCTTATCTGACATGACATTTAAAAATATTTTTATCAGCAAATAAGACTTCTCAGTTCAACCTAACACTTAATTGCTAGTTCTTACTCCCCATATCATTATCTCACCCATCAAAGATTCAGCTTAGAGGGGTGGTGGCTGAAATCCAGGTGCATCTAAACGTGGATGAATCTCCCAAGATACCCTTTGTTATAGATAGATTGACATGTATTAACGCTTTGTTTCTATGTAACAGATGAAGGCAAATTCCACTGTCCATTCCCCCATGGGCGCTATCCTGATCCTGAAGACTGTTCACAATTCTATTCATGTAGTTTCTCCAAAGCGACACTTGAGAAGTGTGATAATGGCACTCTCTACGATGAAAGGAAAGAGCAGTGTATCGAAGCTAAATACGTAAAATGTGGTGACAGACCTGGTGGTATTGATGAAGGTGGTGAGTAAATTTTATTGACGTCTAATTCTCTAAAATTCCTTTTTTTTTCCTTAAAACTTTTTCAAATGGTTGTGTTTTTAAAAGCATACTGTATGTTCTAACTGCTTCGGAAAATCTATTATAACATCCCTTACAAAAATGTAAGGTGTTTTTGAGATTTATTTCAGGTTGTTTTAAGGGAACACAGAACGCTCAAAATAAAAAAAGTGCAATTCTCTAATTGCAATTGACGTCAAAAGTGCAATTGACGTCTAATTCTCTACAATTGCTTTTTTTTCATTAAATTTTTTCAATTGGTTGTGTTTTTAAAAACATACTGTATGTTCAAACTGCTTCGGAAACTCTATTTATGATATTCCTTACGAAAATGTAAGGTGTTTATGAGGTTTATTTCAGGTGTTTTAGGGACACAACAGAATGCTCAAAACAAAAAAGTGCAATTCTCTTATTGCAATTGACGTCAAAAGTGCAATTGGCGTCTAATTCTCTACAATTGCTTTTTTTCATTAAACGTTTTTAAAATATTGTGTTTTTAAAAAACATACTGTATGTTCAAAACTGCTTCGAAAAATCTATTTCTTACCAAAATGTAAAGTGTTTTTGAGGTTTATTTCAGGTTGTTTTAAGAGAACACAGGACGCTCAAAACAAAAAAAATGCAATTCTTATTAGATCATTTTCAAATTTTATTGGTAACTTTAATAGAAGTCTGTGTACAATGTCTTAAAAAAAATAAATATCAGTTTTAAAGCAGTTAAAAGTGTGATTTTTAATTGTTGATAAGTAAAAAGTTCCTTGCGAACGAATTACATTTTCGCCTAAATATGCTATTTATAGGTCTTAAAATAAATTTAAGTTTTTATGGTAACCGTATAAAAATATAACGTACCTAGGTGTTAAATCTTTATTTTGTCCCCAAAAATTTCTCCTAAAAATACACTTCAATTATGTTTGTTCAATCATTAAAAAATAAAATTAAGATATTTAGTTAATCAAATGCATTTGAAAATTAAACAAGACATGCTGAAGAGTTTCTGAAATTTTTCTTTATAAAAATAAAACAAAATCTGATGCGAAGAAACTTTCTGCTGTTGTGAGAACATTGAAAATTTTAATTACGAAAAAAGCAACTTTGTCTTAAAGAAAACTACGTATTCATGTATAGATTTTAACAAATTCATATTTTTATAACTCGATAAGAAAAACTCAGATAGAAGCACGATTGGTGCATATTACTTAGTAAAGTGAGAATTTTTTTAATGTTTAAAAAAATTAAATAATGGATTTTTGAAGTATTTGTCTCCTTCTGAAGATCTAGTGTCCCCTTAAGGTGTTAAAGTTGATTTGAGGTTTATTTAAAGTTGACTTCAACAAAGAACATAAAATAATCGACCACCCAAAGTGTATGAAATTGTTTTATTCAGATTTAAGGTATTTTTGAAACAGATAAAAATCTACCTCAGAGCAACCAGCTTAAAGAAGTTGTTTTTGAAGTTATTTTTTACACTTCAAGCAAACAAGTATATTAGAGGTGTGAATAATTTCACCCAATTTCAACTAAAAGTATTACCGAGCTATATGAGGGTCAAAATCGTGATGTGGTGTCTTCGGATCATCCTCAGGGATGTTTCCCAAACCGACGCCAATAGCCCATTGTGCAGCTCTAGTGCAACGTAAATATAGTACCTACCTACCTTCAAAACCAATTATTGATAAATTTTTGTATATGAATGAGAAAAAAAACATGTTTCAAACTACTTATTTTGGAACAAATATAATTCCAATAGTCCAACAGATTTTTTTAGTGATTTTTAGACTGTTTTTGTAATCAAAAAATACAAAAATATATTTGTGTTTGTAATTACAGCGTTGGAAAAAAATGCATATAAAAGGGACGCTGGCCTCCCATCTGCGTCAAAGTGTTAAATATAAAAAAAAATTGCATTTTATAAAATTAAAAATACATTGCTAAACAATTCTCATTGAAAGTTGGTTTTTTGTTTTAGGTGAGGACGAAACTAAAGAAAAGAAAGAAGAATTCCGTTGCCCGTATGTATGGGGAACATTCCCTCATCCAGACGATTGTTCCAAGTACATCATTTGCATTTTTGACGTTCCCACTGTCTTCAGCTGCAAGAAAACAGAACTCTTCCACGCAAAGTACAGAAGATGCTTTCCGTCCGAGATGGTCACTTGTGACTACAGAATCAACCCTGATGGTAGTTTAACCTTTGTCGCTAAATTGTAATGTTTATCAAATCAATAACCGACATGATACAGATTTTTGTTTCAAATTGTCGACCCTTGGTTATCCAACTATAAACGATCTTAACTTTCTTCAGCTCTTTTAGTGCGAAGAATACTATAAACAAGTAAGGAAGAAAAAAACAAATCTTTATAGAGTGATAAATATTAAGTTTTTGATGAAACAAAGAGAAATTCTTCAGACAACAGGAGTAAAATGGGAAAAACCCCTCTCAAGATCCTGTGGTACATGAAGTAAATAAGAACATGTAGTTTTGGGGGGGAAATCATGAATAAGGGGGGGGGGCTGATCGTACTTAATTTGTTTTTCAACCGCTTCCATGTTTCTCATAGACATGTATAGTGTGGCTTTGAGGAGAACTCCTCCAGACTGAAAGTCTCGGGCTGTCTGCTGCTATGGTAACAAGCGAGAGCACATTTCCAATGCGGGATAAATGAAGGAAAGAGGGTGCGGATTGGTTTACTCACGAGGACCTACTCTAAGATTAAGACAAAACTATTCACCCCACACCCCTATTCGAAGTGACCTTTCCTCGTAGGCATAGTACCCGCCACGGCGCGAGACGGGTGTCTGGAAGAATTCTCCTTAAAGCTGCACTATATTTTGTTGCTGATTACGCTAGGGAATAAGTTTTTCTTCTGTTTCATGAGACTTTTCAACGGATGTTCGATATTTTCACGTCACTGATTTCAAATCTGCAATCGATTTCTCCCTAAAAGATACAGCTTTTTTCTTTTCTTAAAAAGCTACATTTTTAAGACTATTTTTTTGTCTAAATGTACAACTTCAAAAACGTTCTATATAACAGGGGGTCGATCAGTGTTACAACATAGGGGAAGTAGGGCTCAACATCAGGATTAAAATTGCATTGAAATTCATGCATGCAAATGTCGTCATACGCCACTAGGATCACCTTAGTTTAAATTTTAAATTAGTTATGAAAATAAAACAGAATTTAATATGAGCATTTTCATCCGGTCCATAGCATCGTTTTAATGGTTCAGGGGGTTGACCTATAATATGCTAACTAATTAGTGCAGACGATATTTTAAGCTACAAAATTAGACACAAAAACGTGCTCAGAATAAATATGCATTTTTTCCGACGAATTTGGATTCCTGACCCTCAAAATATAGGGAGTACTCCTAATAGTTTATTTAATCAAGAGCACAATCCAAAGTTTGGATTCCTAATGTAAATTTTGGTTTTCGCGTATCATGCTATATTTCGAGAACGTTTTAAGGGAATTGAGAAATTCTTGCACGCTATTTTAAAATTCGTTTATTCGCAGATAATTCTATACAAAAAATAAGCTTTAATAATTTTTTAACGTTTTATTTTTATTAAGTAATAGTCGAAACAACCTTGAATTGCAAGGTATACAATTATTTTAAATTAATGAATGTAATTTTAAGTTGCAAAATACAAAATTGGAGCAAAATTCGAATAGTAAGTGAGAAATTGAATTTGAAATGTACGACTTTTATAAAATTCGATTTCTTAGGAACTATTCGTTCGGTTTTGCTGAGGTTTTGTATTTTGCAACTTCAAATTATATTTCTTTAAAATGGTGAAAAGAAATTTTATACCTTCAAAATTGTTGGACTATTATTAAATAAAATAATAAATAGTCATTAAAAATTATATTTTGCATGGAATTATCTTTGAATCAATTTTATAATTGAGTGCAAAAATCGGATTATTAGATCAAAATTTATTCAGAATGATTCGTATTTTTCCCATTGACAAATACTTAAGGTATTAACCGAAGATTTTATAATGCTTAGCACATAATTGTACTTGCACTACTGAACTTGAAAATTGTGTTTGTGGAATTACTTTTTACAATTTTCAACAGGTAAAGGGAGCAAAATTATCTTTTCAGAAACATTTGATGCTCTCTTTCTAATCTTAGACTAAAGAGAAATTAAACAAAAAAAAACTTGCTTATTTTATTAGTTTATGGTGACACTGGAAAATGCACATCAATCGTTGAGAAACATCATCGCTCTTTATCTTTAAATAAACTGGTTCTTAATTTTCTAACCCATCTCTCTTTTAATCTGATAGATGTTTTTTCCCATTCATCAACTTTTAAAAATTTTGTATATTTTTTTCTTCCCTTAAATACTACTATGCGACCATTCATATACATAGTATTTTACTCCATTTTTTTAAAAAGTGATGCGGCTGTTTAACACTAGTTATCAAATAATATATAAGTAGTAGTAGCATTGGTAAAAAATTTTAATGTAGAAAAGTGTGAACATATTTAAGAACTGCTTAGAAGGCATAACTATATCAAAATACAAAAGCGATGTATTAAAAATTAGGCTTTTCAAAATTCTTGAATATTGTGTTTTATAAGAAAGCATAATGTTCTAAAATATTATAAATTCAAACCTTATTCCTTTTTAGACCTAATCCTTCCACCAAAGCTGTCAACTCAAGAAATGACGAGCCCTACAACTCCACCAACCACCACTCCGACTACAACTACAACGCCAACAACAACTACTACACCCACTACAACTACCACTCCGACTACAACAACTACTCCGACTACAACAACCACTCCGACTACGACAACTACTCCAATTACTACAACAACTACTCCAATTACTACAACAACTACTCCAATTACTACAACAACTACTCCTACTACAACAACCACTCCTACTACAACAACCACTCCTACTACAACAACCACTCCTACTACAACAACCACTCCTACAACAACAACTACTCCTACTACGACTACCACTCCAACTCCGACCACTACTCCTTTCATTAGCACTAAAAAACCGAATACTCCACCACCCACTGACTGTGACGAAGACGATGTTGACTGTATACATGACAAAACAAAAGATGTGAAAGGTTGGTTTGACTGTCCTGAACGTTACGGTCACTTCCCTCATGGTGCGAGTCATCAGCTCTTCATTCACTGTGATAACTGGACACCGTTCATCAAGAGGTGTGCTGAAAACACTGCATTCTCCCCGAAATATCTTGTCTGTATGTGGATTGGAAAACCTCTTCCAACCCGTCCACCAAAATAGATGGTGAATAAAATATTTATAATTTGAAGTAAAAATTATCTCGTCTTTTTTAATCACACAATTTAAACTTCCAAAACAAAGGCTACTATTTCAAAGTCTAAGTACTATATCACTTAGAATAAGTAAAATACTCCCGCTATAGACCATTGTGGGCTAACTACAGTGGTTAAGGCTCCCCAATTTCGTGACCAATGGCATTATTGTGGCAATGTGGTCAACATTGGCAAAGACCATTTTTACTTCCCAGACGAGCTGAAATTCTCTCGTCTCTTTTAAACGCACAATTTAAATTTCCAAAACAAAGGCTACTATTTCTAAGTCTAAGATTTTGTTGTTAATTTACGTCGCACTAGAGCTGCACAATGGGCTATTGGCGACGGTCTGGGAAACACCCCGGAGGATGATCCGAAGACATGCCATCACAATTTTGATCCTCTGCGGAGGGGATGGCACCCCCGCCTCGGTAGCCCGACGACCTGCGCGCGAAGTCGAGCACTTTACGGTAGCACAGTTTAACGAGGACCAATACCACACACCCTCGGTCCCTACGCAGACTGATCCAAGTGGTCACCCACCCGCACACTGACCGTAGCCAGTGATGCTTGACTTCGGTGATCTGCTGGGAACCGTGTCTTAACGATCGGTCCACTGTGGGACTTCTAAGTCTAAGAATTCTATTACTTAGAATAAGTAAAGCATTCCCGCAGCAGACCATTGTGGGTTAACTATAACATTACGGCTCCACAATATCGTGAACCAACGGCATGATTTTGGCAATGTGTTCAGTTTTCACACAGATCGTTTTTACTTCCCAGTCAAGCTGGTATCCATCGATATGAAGCTGGGTGGGCTTCAAGCTACCACAAGGGACCGAACCCAGTTCTTGACAATGAGGTTCAGTGCCTCAACCACTGAGCCATCACTGCTTATTGGAGTATTTCGCATTTTTATGCCAAACGTAGCTCCTAGTTTTATGCATGCTATTTGGTCCAAAGTGTGTCAGTTTTAATTGTAGTGTACTGAAATTTGATTTGTAAGCTTGTTCCGGGTAGAAAAATTCCGGTAGCTGGTAACTAACTGTTACCTCTGCACATCCCTCGTTGTAACCATATTAACTTAAAGAGGGTAAAAATATTGCAATAAAAGCATTACTTTTTATAGTGGAAATATTAGATTAATTTTTAAACTCTGTGTTAAAAGTTAATGAAAGTAATTAAGTTATATTTAAAATTATTAAACAGTATTTTCTATTTTACTTTATCTATAAAGACAACGCATCTGGAATAAAATAAATTTGTCAAAAGAGTGGTCGGAAGTTTGGGTCCCTTAATTTTTATTTCAGTTTTTGCATAATTGGCAATATCTAGGAGAAATTTTTAGATAAATACAAAGTTCGTTTATTCGAAGATAATTATTTCCATGCAAGAATAACTATTTATGATTATTCATTATTTTTTAAGGAATAGTTCTGAATTGTTAGGTTACAAATTTTTACAAAATTCGAGTGAAATGTGTCTAATAATTTCCAAGAAAGGAAATTTAAAAAACATGGCCTTTTCCACAATCTTGTAACACAGAAGCTATTCGACTGATTTCACTCATTCTTTAAAAAAAAATTACAAAGAGAAAATCGAGAAAAAATTTATAAACCTCGATATTCAAACATTTTTACTATTACCAAATAAAATCATAAAAAGTAATAAATAATTGTTACATTAGATCTAAAGTTAATCAGGTTGATCCATTTTTTTGCACACTGCTCAGTGAATAAAAAAATGGGAAAAAAAGGGTGGGGGGAAAGATAACACCCAGAAAAAAAAATTTCTAATAAAAACCAATCCTAAAAACCAATCTTAATTTTTCAAAGGGTTTATCTCAAATATGCTAATTAAATAGTACTTATTACTAATAAAGTTCCAGAATCATACGCAAAAACGTATTTTCCCTGAATAAACACACCTTTATTGATGAGTTTGGTTTTTTAATTACCAAAATATGGAGAATTGTTGAAATTTGGAAAATATAGTCCCAATGATCAGAAAATTTACGGAATGTTTATGCCCCTGTTAATCTTAATTTCACCTTTAATGAATTTCGCCATGGCTCAAAAACTATTCGAACGAGTGTGGAATTTTTGGCAAATAAAAATCATGAAAAAAAAGTTTTTCCCAAGAATATAATTTTACGTAAAAAATGAAATTTTTTATAATTATTTATTATTTTCTTTCATAACAATCAAAAATTTTGAAATTTTTGGGTACACAAATTTATACATCATTTAATTGAATGTAATTTTAAATGTCAAATTTCCAAATTTAAACGAAATCTGTAGAAAAACAATTGAAAAATGAAAAGTTGAAAATACATTTTTTTAGTTTCATAATTCATGTTCATTAAACTATTCGACCAATTTCGCTTAAGTTTTGCATTATTTTTTTCTTCAAAATTACGTATTTTATAATGAGGCTAAATCTTGTGTACTTAACAATTCCTATTTTTTTCCGAATGCTGGTCCGTTTTTGAAAAATTGTGAAAAAATGACTCGTAATTTGTGAATATAAAATAAGCGTTCAGTCACATTCTTTCAACCAGGGTCCGCTTCTGTGAATTTGTGCAAATAGGGTCCGTTATTGCAAAAAAACTTTTTCAAGGAGTTTTTAAATTGTAAAGACATACAAGATTATGCTCAACACTGTAAAATTATAATTAAAAAAATAAAATTTTAAAAAATAAACAGCAATTGCAGCTACTAAATTAGCGATGCAACATACAAATATTTGGTATTTAGCCTATAATGCTAAATGCAGAATATTCATTTCGGATGAATAAAGGAGGATGCGTCTGCCGAAGACAAAATTTAGTTCGTTTACATCTGCCTTTCTTCCCTCCCCCCACTCCCTGGGAAGGGTTTATTCGATTAACAAAACAATAATGAAGATAACAAATTTGTGTAGGGTCCGATTAAAAGATAAATTATTTTGTGAAGGGTCCGTTTTTATGAAAAGATATTTTGTGTTAACGGACCCAAATTTCTTCCAAACAGGCCCCTGAAATGTTATTAAATAATTTTTTTGGAGGGGGGTTAATGGGTCTACTTCCCATTGGCCTCAGAAATGCCAGAATTGCTACTCTCTTATCGTTACCCAGTGAGCACCTATGGCTGAGCTACGGCGGTGGAGTAGCGTCGCCCACGTCATACAACCACAAACCCGTTTATAGGGCGGGTTACATTCACACAATCACACACAGAAGAAAGGACATACAACACAGAGAGAGAAAGAAACACCCATGTCCTGAGTGGGATTCGAACCCGAAACCATCGAATCCACAGTGAGGCACGCTAACCATTCGGCCACCTGGTCGACATGTTATTAAATATAGGAATAATAATAATAAATAATCATCAAAAAATTTTTATTTCATGTGTAAATTTCTTCAGTTAAATGAATTTTTTAAATGCGTGGGAAAATGTTTGGTTCACTTAAAAAGTTTCCGACACATGGCAAAATATGCGAAAAGGGAAAACTTTTTATACTTTCTCCTAATTAAACTATTTAAACCGTATTTCACAGATTGCATCATTTGATGGTCAAATATCCATCGAAAAAAAAGGGCATGTTTATTTAGAGACTTGTTCTTGTAACTGATTCCAGGGCTTCTACCTTCAACTAAATATACGTCTAAAATGACTGTTTTGAAGAAAAAACAACTATGGCGACAAATTTCGCCGAAATATAGGTAAAAACGGCTATTGTGCAATCAATTACTAAATATCTGCAACATTTTTTACCAATTCGCTAATAAATAAGAATCGATACATTTTTGCTATGTCCATTCCAGATACTATTTATCCACCTTTAATTTTTTTCATTTTTTCCCACTCTATTTGACCAATGTAATTACAATGGAATGTTTCATGCCACTGAAAGAGTGCTACAGCAGTGGATTTCAATAGGAAGGAATAATCTTCGGAACTACTGGAGTTTGCTTTATACACTTGCAAATTAATGTAAAATGTAACGAATTTAATTTAAAGCTAGAAAAAAAGTATAGTTGAATCTTCACAGGATTTTTTTTCCGTTCTTGTAAATAGGAGGTTTAGCACATATAAGTGTTCTTAGCCTGTTGTTTTTAATAAGGTAGTAAAATTTTAAGAATCGTTTTTAAAAAAAAATTGTTCATTTAATAATAATGCTATTTAAAACTTTGTTGCTTTAATGATTACATGTGAAATTTATTAGAACATATCTATCTATCTATCTTATTATATAAAACGCTAATACGTACGTATGTATGTATGTATCAATAAAACCGATGATATTTCTTTTCTCGCGCTGGCAACAGTTTTCATTTTTAATTGATTGGATTCGGCGCGCAAGAGCACGTAGTGAGCAACCAGATAACAATAACCAGAGTGAGCATTATCAGGTTGTTCAATTCAGATTCATGCACTAAAAACATGACAATATTTAATTT